ACTATCAAAGAAAATGGTAGTTATTTTCCTTTTAAAGATTTTTGCTTTTTATTAGGTAATAATGCATCATCATGATGTTTTCTTTTTCTAACACTTATTATTTTTCTTTCTTCTTGGTAAATTTCATAGGCAATACTTTCTTTTCTCAGATAAGCTTCCAGTGTCTGAACATCATTTATTTTGAAAACATAAGGAGCAATTTTTTCACCTTGTTTTTTTTTTAAAATGCTTCTGATAGTGCTATAATTCTTGGGTTCCATAGTAGATTTGATGTAAATGAGTTTCATATTAACTATTTTTATATAGGAGTAGTACTATATATCACTTAAAATAAATGGGATATTATAAAGCTGTTGATTATGATCACATTACAAATGACTAAATTTTGATCACTGAAATCTTTGGTATACCAATGTTCACTTTGTCTGGTTTTGTTGCAAGCATGCCCCATATTAAGTGCGACAATATGATGTTTGTCGGTTTTATCCATTTTTAGATTAATCACGTGAAGGATTTGGGAGAAATATCAAAAAAAAAAAAGTCTTAAGTTCTGTCTAATTAAAAAAAAGGTATTATTGTATAAATATATCAATAATAAGAATAAACTCTAACAATACGCCACCAACAAGTGTAAAGCTTGCTTTACGGTTTATTTTAATTTTAAAACAAGCTCACTATTTGTATTTTCTTTTATTTATTTAATATTTAAGAGATATGTCAAGAAGAAGATCTCCAAGATTAAACCAGGACGAAACACCAATTAAAATAGAGGAAGAAAGTAACGAACAATTTAGCGATACTCTGTGTCGTAAAGAACAAAAACCTAAAAATGAAATTAAAAAAAGGCAGCAACAACAAAAGCATCCCAAACAACTGTATGACCAAAAACATAATCAAAAACAACAGCAGCAATCCTCCCCACCAACACCGCCTTCTTCTGATCCAAGTCATAATTGTGATAACGACGATTATTTAAAACATGAAGATATTCCTCGATCATGTAAATTTTTACCTATTTATCCTGTTGATACCATTAATCATTCTTCTAGCTAAATAACACATAAAATTTTTAATAAAGGGCCGTATGATCAAAATGGAAATAGTTCTTACAACGGTTCAAGACGTGCATCTATTGAGTCAACAACTACCTTAGCATCAATTATATCAGAATCGTCAGTATTTAGATCATCCAACAATTCACAAATTAATCCTTCCAGTAATACCAGTTCACTTACCTCAAATACTTCTATAAATTGTTTTAACCATTACAACAAAAATAACAACGATAATAATAATAATCATAATATATTTAATGAATGTATTAAACCTACTTTAGATAATCACGATGATAACAATGCAGGTTCTTCTCTTAGTAGAATGGCTAATGACGAGAAAAGCATGCAAAGTCAATATAATTTAAGACCCAGGTTTAACATTGAAAAAAATAATAACCAGAAGAAAAGAATCGAGAAACCAATTAATAAAACTAAACATAAAAGCGATGTTAAAGCTAGAGGAAAAGAAGACATTGATAATAACGGCAGCAAAGACAACAACAGTAATAATATAGATCATAATAATATAGATCACAATGATATAGATCGCCATGATACAGATCACCATGATATAGATCGCAACGATATAGATCGCAATGTCGTTATGGATCGCAATGATGTCGCTATGGATCAAGTAATTGATAATGATGATGATAATACACGTCAAGAATTAGACAATGATAAAAATAAGATTGTGTATGTAATACGTTTATATTACTTATAAGAATTTTTTTAAACTATGAATATACCTTTAATACTATTAGTAATATATTAATATTATTATTTATTTAGGATATTGGCTAAAGCGATTTTCGGGTTATTAAACGCTAAATGGGTTGTGGGTACAGCAGTTATGACGTTTATATTGTTTCTAGGTTTCTTTTGCATTTGTCGATTGTCATATATAAGTGATCGATGTCAATATTGGATAGTTAAAGACAGTGATCTCAATTCGGAGTATACAAATTATGTAGATGCTGGTAGCGATGTTAAATATGAACATAGCGATGTAATAATTCGAGCTGCAGTTGCGGAACAAGTTAGAAGCTTGTGTGCGGCAGAAATCCAAAAACGTATTCAACCTGAAAACAATGAAATGGCTAGATATCAAAAATATATTCTCGATGATGTAGTTGCCGAAATTATTAAAAACGAGATTCACAAAGCGGTAGAAGAAAAATTGTATATTTATTCACAGGATAGGTTAAATAAGGCAGATTATGCACTTTCCTCAGGTGGTGCAAAGATCATTAGTCCGTTAACATCTCCAACGTATGAAATGTGGCCTACGCAATGGCATCAACGAATTATGGCAGCAATAACTGGTCATGGAATCACGAGAGGCAAGCCACCAATAACGGCTCTTCAACCTGAGACTCATGTTGGCCAATGTTGGCCTTTTGCTGGACCGAAAGGTCAATTAGCGGTATTGTTGAGTAGAAGAATCTACGTTACAGCTATAACTTATGATCATGTGAGTAAAGATATAGCAATGGGTGTCACAAGTGCACCAAAAGAATTTGAAGTATGGGGATTTGTTGATGATGTTCCAGAAGTGATTATCGATAATTCATATCCAAAACAAGGACATGAACCATTATTATTGAAACAAACAGATGATGTCATTCAAGAAGAAAAACAAGAAGGTATTTTTGGCGATCATTCCGCCATTCCAAGTGATCTAAACGATACAAATGACACAAGCAACCCAAATGACGCAGCAAATAATCCAAGTGAATCAAGTTCAGATGAAAAAAATGGTGACGAAAGAGATTTAAAGCTTGGTTCGTCACCAAATCATTTATTTTTGGGGAAATTTACTTATGATATAAACGGATCCACCATACAAACCTTTGAAGCGCTTAGATACAGTAAACCGATAATAGCTGTTTTAATGAAGGTAAATAGCAATTGGGATAATCCACAATATACTTGTCTTTATAGATTTCGTGTTCATGGAATACGATCGAATTATCAATCTTGATTTATATATATAATACACACACATACATACATACATATATGTACATATTTAGGTGATTATATAATTTATTTATAATTTATTTATTTTGTAAATATATTTATTTTTTTTTCATAAATTATTATTTAAAAAATTGTATATTTTTTTTAATAAATTTGTTAATTCCATTTTTTTTCACTTAAAAAATATATTCCAATATATATTTTTTAGATTTTTAGAAAAAGTTTTATTTTTATTTTGTAAGGACAATTAATATAAATAAATATATAATTTGTAAAAAAAAATTTATTTAATAACTTCCTGTTCTATGATATCTACTCTACCTTATCATTATATTATTAATTAATTATCTCTTGCAAAATAACGCTTCTTCTTGACTGAGAACTGAAAAACAAAATATAGATATTAAAAAAAATATAAATTGCATATATTTTGTGTTTAGCGATCTTTCTCGCCTATGTGGTGATTGGTGGTAGTGTGAACTGCACGATAGGCACAAACATTGAATTTATGTTGTTACCTGTCTTGAGGGCAGTATCACTCATGTCTTCTTTTTTGATGAAATGCCCATGATGTAGTAAGCTTTTTTTCTATCATAAGTACCGACACATTCACATGCTGATTAGTCAGATCTCCCAAGGTCGTTCATGCTTTGCTTGCATTGCTCCATATACTGTTTGCTTTATTAATATCGGGACTTTACAAAAAGGCAAAGTCGGATAAGAATAACTTCACAGAAAGTCTAATCGGGTGAAAATCAAGATCAAAACACTTGAACAATATCCTCGTCGAGCTATACTGTTCTTTTTTTTTATTATATATATTACTACATTGTCACGTAACCCATTAAGCTATAATGTTTTTCAGATAATTGCGCGCTTTACCCGCTTACTTTATGCTTGAATACAATTCTACCACTTTTAAATAACTAAGCTACTATCTAATTAATTAGACCAGAAGGCTGTCTTTTACTTTCCCTAGGCATGAATACGAAGGACTTTAACTGACACTCGCGTTGATCACGTGAGACTACCAATATGTATGCGCAGTTACTATCATCTTGTAAATTTTTAAAAAGATGATAATTAAGAAATTGGTTTTATCAAGAATGAAGATTCAAGCAATGAACGATTAAAAGATTTGGTAATTATCAAATGATTATTCAGAGATATAAATCCGAATTTTAAAAAATTTTTATAGGATGATTTTTGAATTAGAGCAAATTGTAAAGCAAAATCTCTAATTTCTGTCAACGTAAATTGAGCTGTTTTCTAAACTTGATTTTTCAAATCAAATTGAGGTGACTAATAATCTTATTTAAATTGAATTATCAAAGTGGAGCAGCTCATAAGGTCTAAACTAACGATGAAAACACCAAACACCAACGATATACAAATCAAATGCTCGTTGAATAAAGTCTTGTAACAAGCATTGTTTGTTTCAATCCCATTTTTGAAATTAATTGACGATTGTTTTTGGTAAAAAAAAACTACTGTGATAAAATTTATATATAGTAATAAGATTACATATATATGAAAGAAAAAAAGGTGAATATGATGGTATGAAAAAAGCAACCCATCCTTTATAAATGAGTTGTATGGCTATTCGACCAAGAAAAGTTTTCTGAACTGCATGAAGCTTTTCGAGCTCTTTCCAAATCAGAACAAGGCACATGCTTGATGGCATAGCTTATCTCAATGGATACTGGGGCAATGTGTATGAGCAGATTCCTCAAAAAGAAAATTAGTGCAATAAGAAAGATCATAATATTTCTGCTAACAAATATGCTATGAATTGGTCATGAAATCATCAAAAAGTTCATGGTAATTACTAAAAAAATGTCACAATGAAAAGCAAAAATGGGAATTGACAAAAAGGTTACTGAGACTATGAAAATTTTTCTCTTTGAATTATGCAGAAGTTCATGGATTATCAAGTCCTTGAAAGAAATGTAAATAGAACAATCTATTCATTTATATTTTTACCAAACAATTGCTTAGTATTTACAAAGTAATATGTGCATTGCTAGCTTTTTTTTTTAATTATTAAATTTACATATACTTCTTATTATTATAATTGATTAAGTAATTAAATAACAAAATAATAATATTTTATCTTAATAAATTAAGAAGGAAAAAAATAAATTATGAAATAATAATGAGAAAGTTATCATGATTCAAAAAAAACATTTATTTACTTTTTCTTTCTATATAATTTTCCCGAATAATAATAATAATAATTAATGATATTGACGACAGATAATATATATTATTAGGTTGATTTAATTAATTAATTTGCTTGCTTGTTTGTTTGTTTATTTGTTTACTCTTCATCATTCATATGATCAAAAAGATAATTTGCTGCCATTTCTTCATTTTTGTCACAAGCAAGATACGCTTCAATTGCAAGTGCTCTATCAAATCCTAAAGCTTCCAACTACCAAAAAAATATATTTATCATTATTAATATTAATAAAAAAAAAAACAATAAGGTTGAAATTGAAATTGAAAATTATTATTTAATTCATTTACCCTGTCAATTGCTTCTTTTTCTTCCTGTGTCACAGAAACATATTGTGGTGGTGGAAGATTGCCCTCACCACCTTCATCCGGTTCTTGTAAAAGTCTCATAAATGTAGCTTGATTCGAATTTATAAGCTAAACCAAACAATAATTTATTATTATTATTGTTAAGAAAATAGCGCTAATATATTATAAATATGATGATGATATACCTGCAATAATTCAGGATTTTGAGCACCAATCTGTTGGAGTAATGGTTGCAATAAACTTGGATTTTGTTGAACAAATTGTCTTAAATTTCGAAAATGTGGTTGATTTCTCAAAAAATTCAAATCATCCATATTCCCTCCTCCTTGTCCACCACCACCGCCGCCACCTTGGGTTGCTCTTTGTCTTTGTTGTTGTAAATTTTGTGCTTGTTGAAAAAGATTTAAATGTTGTGTACCTAATAGATTATATTATATAATTACATTATTAAAATTAATTTTTTATTATTTACTTGTTTCTGTGTTATAAAAACTTACTTAAATTAGGAGCACTATTGGTACTAGTAGGGTTTGTAACACCTGGTGCTGGCGTAGCAGAAGTAGTATTTCCGCTTGGGGTATTGGTTGTTGGTGTTGTTGTTGTTGTTGGTGTTGTTGTTGTTGGTGTTGTTTGTGCTGCTGGAGGAGCTGTTGTTCCTGAACTATTATCAAAATTCTCTGGAATTCCCTATTTTTAAAATTGTTTCAAAAAAAAAATTATTACAAACAAGTACGTGTATATGTAAAATAAAATAGATGTTTTAATTACTATAGATATATATACATACAGTCATAAGATATTCAACAGCCCTGTTTGGATTATTAAAACTTGCCCGCATGGCGCTTACAGCTGATTCACGATCGAATCCCATCTCCATCATATATTGAACTGATTTTTCATAATCAGCCCCAGTAACTTTGAATTTTGTAATAATAAAATAATAATTGTTATTATTATAATTAATGGTTAATATAAAATCAATCATTAAAAATATTTCAATAAACAAATAACAATTTCTTTTTCTTTTTTCAATAAATACCTAAAGCATTAGGATTATTGAATAATTCTGACATTTGAGAAGCATCAGATGCTGGGTTAGATTCTGCTGCACCAGTATCGGCAGTGGTAGTGGTGGTTGTTGTGGTAGCTGGTAATGGTATTGTAGTGGTAGATGAAGTTTCAGTTGTGACGACAGTGTTAGTAGTGGCTGTTGTAGGCGATGTTGGACGTTTTACAGCATCTGAAGTTTCGCTAGATTTAGTTGTAGATGATGGGGTAGATTGGCGTTTAGATTGTGGCTATAATCATTTATAATCATAATCATGATAATAATAATTAGTAAGGTGATGATAGATGGATGATATTGTCATAATAGTGTAGTAATGGTAATAGTAATAGTCATGTTAAAGTAATAATCAATCGGGTAATTTCTAGTCACCTTCGTAACCACGAGCACCATGAAATCTTTTTCTGTAATATTATATTCTGATAATTTTTTATCATCTGTCAAGATTTTTCCTGTTTAAAAATGATGATGGTGAATTATTTATTTATCGATTGATTTTTGTTAGATTAAAAAAAACCCAAAATAAAACATGCCATAAAGAATATTGTTTAAGTTTTAGGAGGAATACCTGAATAAATAAGTTTTTGGGTAGGAATATCGTATTCTTTAATTTCTTGAATCTTCTCTTTAATATTAAGCACCTAAAATGTACAACGTAAAATGAACAATAATGAGTAATAAGAAAGTGAACGTAAGCTAAATCAACAACAATAAAAACAAAGATTAATAACGATAAGGTCAACATACTGTATCCTCTAATTCAACATCTAATTGAAATTGATCTTGTTTTAAAGTTTTTATTGTAATCTTCATTTTTATTTATATATATATATAATGCTTTAAAAAATATTTATTTATTAAAATTTGATCACAGACTTGAATAATGAAATTAGAAATTGAAATATTTCATTTACTTGATAAAATTTTTTTTAAAATAATATATTAGTGATGACGACTTGTATGATTACGAGTTGAGTTTACGTTTTATGTGTAACAATCATTACTACAAATAAGGAAATGATTAAATTTATTTATATTATATTTTAAAACTATTCACTATATCATTTCCTGTATCGGTATCTTTAGAATAATACTTGCCATTTTGTCAGAGATATATCACTCGTAAGCCAACACAAATGTTTGACGACTAATTTAAGATGGCTTCAATCATTTTCTCTTTTATTTCTAGGCTCTGTGTTAATATTGGTTTATGATTTTTCGTTTCTCTGGTAAATCTCATAGGTAAAACTAATAAATATTCTTCAATAGTTTGGTACAATTTATCTGGAGCAACTTTTTCCCCTTATCCTTCCATACTCTGAAGTATATTTCTCTGAATCACCTATATTAATATTGATATAATAATAATAATAAGGGAGGAAAAATGGCCAAACAGCCAAGCAGTTAAAATTTTCCCGATTTTTTGTCCATTTTGGCCAGATGCTAACATTGTATTAGTTGAGTAGTTATTTATGATTTTTTTTTTTATTGCTATAAGTGGTAATGCTAATTTTAATGATGAATATTTCCAATTGATGTATTAAACTAAACCAGACTAACTATTTAATATTTAATGGTTTTAGATTATTAACAATAATGATAATTTTGGAGAATAATAAGAATGATATAATAATAATGAAAGAATTCATCTTTTGAATTATGTTATTGACCATATTTTCTGGATCTCTAGATACAGTGGATATTACCATTGTAACCAATATATGTCCATTATATCATTCCATTTTTTAATGATTAATGAATAAAATATTGTATACAAATATAAATATAAATATACACACAAAAATTACTAATCAAGATTTAGAATCTAAATCAGATGAATGAACATTATTAAATGGTGGTATTTGTGGATGAGTTGGTGAATGAAGTTTTGAAAATGACAAGGAATCAACAGGAGATAATGATTTTTGTTTAATTTGTTGTTGATTATTATTATCATCACCACCACCACCACCATCATCATTGTTATTATTACTATTATTATCACTATTACAATGATGATGATTAGATATATTAGCATTTCTAGGTTTTAACACATTCATGAATTTTTTTGCATAATGATTATCTTCTTGATTTCTTTGAACTTTAGCCCTTAATGCTTCCATAACATATTCATGATCAACTTCATTATTATTATCAGTGCGTTTATTGCTAATTGCACTATTTGGACTTTGTAAATAATGATGATGATTTAAAGGGGATGCTGAATGATGAGAATATTCTATACCACTATTAGGAATTGAAAATGATTGATGATTATTCGTAACAGTTGGTGATGAAGAAATGGTTGGGTATGAAGGAATAGATAGTGTAAGTGAAGGTCTTTGATTTGTAGTGATGGCAGCACTACTACTAGCAGTATTATCAGTATTATTATTATCATATGATGATGATATATGATTATGTACAAGATTATTGTTGTTATAATTGTTAGCTGATCGTGGGGGTGAAAGGCATGTGGTAGTAGCACTTGTAGGTAGAGTATTAGAGAAATGAGAACCTGAAATAATTATATTTTGAGAGTGAGTGAATGAACGAGTAATGAATGACTGATAATAATAATGAGAATAATGAGAAGATTTAATTTACCTAATGGCTGTGGAATAATATCTGGAGATTTACTTTTATTTCATGTAATAAAAATTATTGATTAATTAGTAATTAAATAAAGATATTGATATTGATACTGATCATATAATACATACACATTAAAGTTACTACTAGTAGTTGAAGATGTATTATTTATTATTGCTATTAAATTTATATAAACTTGTGTTAGTAAAAAATATTAATATTATTTATCCTTTTTTATTATTATTGCTAATACTGCTATTCATTATTATTATTATTATTATTATTATTACATGGTGCTCCTGTGAAAATTGTGGGTAGTTTCTTTTGTTCTCTCAACATTTCTAAATCAACTTGTCTGTGTTGCAATCTAAACCTTTCAGCTTTACATTTTTCTTCCTCAGCTCTTCTCTATAACATTTTTTTTTTTGATTACCAAGTAAATTATATTTGTTTAATAAAATAATAAAATATATTTTTCCATTTTCTATTTTTGATATTGAGAAAACAAAACTTGCCTTATCTTCTTGAGCTTTTGCTACTAAAATTAGTTTTAGTAAATCATTGTCTTCACGATATGTATCTAATATTTCACGAAGGGTTATATCTGTTTTCGTAATTATTTGAGCTAGCGTAGGATAAGAATAAACAGACTGTTCTGGCATATTGTTTTATATTTTTTTTTAGAATCATATAATTATTTATTATTTATATATTCACATTTTCAAATTCCATTTTTGTGATACTAACACTAACTGATACATAGCAGATCTCAAATTTACCCCATACTTTACTTTAAAAAAGTAAACAATAATTAAAATCTTGAATTTTTTTTTTTAAAGTTTTTTTTGCTGATAAAAAAATTTTTTAATACATAAAAATAATGCAAATTCTAAAACCAGAGTGGCTTGCTCATTTTGGTAAATTTTTTTTGATTTTTAGATTTTAATTTTTTTAAAAAACAATAATAATTCCCTCAAACTTTTTTAAAAAAAGATGATAAAGGACAAAGGACTATAATTTTTACATTACATGTACATCCTGATGGATCAAGGATAGCGACTGGAGGACTTGGTATAATATCTTTTATTAAAGATGTTGATTGATTAAATCTTGTTTTGATTGATTTAAGGCTGTATGACTAACCTTTTTTTTGAATATGTGTTTTTAGATAACACAATAAAATTATGGAGTACTGAAGCAATAATGAATCCAAATACAACTTCTCCAAAATTATTATGTACATTAGGAATTCATACTGGTCAATATTAATAATTATATCTATATATAGAAGAAAGTAAAAAAAGCTATAAATTTAGGATCACGATGATAATTATATATATACCTTTTTTACACATATATGAAACATAGGATCAGTACTCTGTGTTAGATGGTCTAATCGTAATGGACATTTTTTTGCATCAGGATCTGATGATGACCTCATCCTTATATGGCAATTAGATGCGTGAGTTTTTTTTTGGGGAAAAATAATAAGAAATATTTAAATATTTAAATATTTAAATTATTTGACGATTAGAGCTGCAGTTAGTTGGGGAGGCGGTAGTACTTTTGGAAGCGGTGAACAAAATATCGAAGTTTGGAAACCAATTAGACGTTTAGCTGGTCATGAATCAGGTAAAGAAAATCTATCCTTTGAATAATATTTATCTTTACTTGTAACAGTTAAAAAAATTTATGATTTTTTTTTGGGGAAATGAAGATGTAGCAGATTTATCTTGGTCACCTGATAATACATATTTGGCTTCCTGTGGATTTGATAGTACAGTTTATATATGGAATTGTCAAACTTCTGGTGAATAGCAATCTATAAAATAAATATTTTTAAAGAAAAAATTTTATATTCATAAATTTTTATCATTTGAAAAGAGAGACTACATAAACTGGAAGGTCATAGTGCTTTTGTAAAAGGTGTTTCATGGGATCCTATCGGTGAATACTTGGCCACACAGGTATTTGATAATTAAATTTATTATATACATGCCAATCATTATTAATTATTAATATTATTACTAGGCTGATGACAAATCAGTTAAGATTTGGCGAACTAGTGATTGGAAAGTTCAGACAGAAATAAATGAACCATTTTTAAATTCTCCCATAACAACTTTCTTTAGCAGATTAAGGCATTAATTTTCATTTCATTTCATTTATTTATCTATTGTTAAAAATACTTTATCATAAAATTTCTAATTTAATATTAATGGATTCGTTATTTAGTTGGTCACCAGAAGGTTCTCATCTAGCAATTCCTAATGCTTGTCAGGGGTCTGTGCCTGTTGCAATAGCTCTCCGTAGAGATGAATGGAAAATCGATGTTTCAATGATTGGTCACGAATCTCCAACAGAAGTTGTTGTAAGTATCATTGTATATGTATGAATATATAGTAAATAGTAGTATATTAACTAAAATTTCAAGGGGGAAATTATAATTTGATAAAAATTTTTATTTTTAAAAAAAGTGTTTTAGTCCAATTCTTTATCATATTCGAGATCAAGATCGTGGAACTATTGTTGGTGGTGTTTGTGCAATTGGAAGTCAAGATCATGGTGTATCCATTTGGGCAACATCTTCTTCTCACCCATTATTAGTCTTTAAACAATTATTCACACATTGTATCTTAGATTTATCGTGGTCACCTGATGGAAGATTTCTTTTTGCTTGTTCATATGATGGAACTGCCACAATACTGGAATTTAAAAAAAATCAATTTGGTGAACCATTGAAACCTGAAGAACAAGAAAGAATTTTATCGAAACATGGTTACAAACCAAAAGAACCAGTAATTATTGAAAATACTACTCAACTTGCTATGGAAGAAGAGAATGCAATATCAAAAAAAATAATTTCCTCTTCTAGAATAGCAGCTTTAATGGGTGGTGATCAAATCTTATCACAATCTACTCTATCGTCACAAACATCGCATATGTCAGATTTATCATCACATAAACCAACTACAACAATACTCCAACAAAACCAACTACCATCTTCCTCCTCCTCTTCTTCTCCGTCATCATCATCACCTTCTCCGCATACAGAATTAGAAATTGATCACATGAATGACGAAAATAACAGTACCCAACAAACTGATAAAGCTTCACAAATGCAAATCTCAAATGATTCTTCTTCTGCTCAATCTTCTAATCAAGTGGCAACAGCAACAATAATAATACCTCCTTCTTCTTCTTCCAATAATATCACTACAACTAAACCTGTAAATCAGATCCAACAACACATTACGATTACAAAAGATGGTAAAAAACGTATTCAACCCAATTTTTTAAGAAGGTATTAAATAAATAAATATATTATAGATACTTATTTCTCAAATAATAATATTAATTATAACCACTGAAAAAATTTTGTAATTTTTTACTCTTCCTATTCTTCTTTAGTACAAGCTCTTACACAGGTCCTTCACCATTCTTTAGTACCTCGTCTTCTTCATTTTCGGAAGTTACTACGAACATTAATATTTCATCAACATCATCAAATAATTTCAATCCGCTAACAAATCCCGATATTGATCCACCAAATCGTGAAATAAGTATGGAAACTCTACCGCTTGTTTTCATAGGAACTAAAAGAAAAGAATCTGCAATTTCAGATTCTAGTAATAATACAGCCAATGCCAATGCTTCACCGAACAAAAGGCCAGCATTACCTCCTGCTGCTGGTGGTAGTGGTAAAGTGAATGGTGAAATACAAAATCTATCAACAACAATAACATCATCACCATCAAGACTAAATAACAATAATACAAGGCCATCAATGATAACTCCATCAGTTGTCACGTCACAAGTTCGATTGTCTTCTCATAAAGTCAAAGATTATCTTTCCAAAGATTTATCTGAATTTAAAGCTCTTAAAGTTGAATGTCATAATAACCATCAAGGTAAAGTTCTTTTTAAAAGAAAAGAATATATATTTGCGCATGTATATATAGCATGTATTATTATATATATAATTTTCCCTATTAGGTCTTTCAAGAATCGTTTGTTCTCTTAATAAAATAAATCTTTGGAGTGATATTGTTCCAAATGCAGTAACGCTAATTGCTGGTAATGATAAGTATGTTGCTATTGGGTGTGAAAATGCTAGTGTTATAATATATGATCACAGTGGTTTAAGGTAATCGATTTTGGTTGAGGTGTTTGATAATCTATCTGTGCTATATTAATGTTTTTGCCCAATAAATACTTTTTTTTTTTTATGATAGATTACTACCTAATATCAGACTTGACTCAGCTGCATCATATATATTGATGTCAAGAGAATATTTATTATGTTTATCTCAAACTGGAATAGTTAATGTTTGGTGAATAGTTTAATCATAGTAATAATATGTTTTTGAAATACATCAATTAATTATTTTATTTTTATTTAATAGGAAATTACCAAAATTAGAGTCAGTAGTATCATCTGTTTCTATAACGCCTATTATTCAACCATCCAGTTTATCATCAGCAGATTTTCATTATGCATCGATTGAAAGAGTATTTATCAGACCTAATGGAGTACCAATACTGATGACTGATACTAACGAAGCATGGTGTTATCACCTTAGTGCAAAAGCATGGATACAGATTTATGATCCACGCTATTCATCAAAAGAAATGAAAACTTCCACAGAAGGGTACGGTAATGATCCAAGGAGAATATTGAATTCAATAGAACAAATTGCGAGAAATAAAGGTGGTAATTATGGTACATTGTCGTATTTGGCTCAGGGTGAAAGTAAACTTGGACATTTGTATAATCAATTGCTGGCGGCTGAATTGGTTAATTCACCTAACGAATATAAGAAAATTTTGTTAAATTATGCTCAAGCGTTGGCTGATGTTGGCAACGAAGAGAGGATAAATATACTCTGTTCAAGACTTTTAGGCCCATTAGATAATGTTGGGTACAGTAATAACAATAACATCATTAATTTTTTATTTGTTTTCGTTTAACCTATTATTGTTAATTGTTTATCTATTGTTAGTGCAAACAGTGCAAACAGTGCAAATTGGGATCCTTTTGTAGCAGTAAGCGATACACAAACATATCTATTTATTTATTTATTCATTTATTACTAATATATTTACTCCTAATAACATTCTATTTAATAGGGGATGTCCAAACATGAATTATTAAAAGATGTATTGGCTATTTTATGTAAAGATGAAATAAAATTTTAAATTTGGGGATTTTTTCAATTCTCTAAAACTGACTATATATTTGTTTTATACATTTAGCCACTAATCGATCTCTACAAAAAATCATTCAAGAATATTCTCAGACACTATTCAGATTTACAAATGGAGATTAGTTAGCGTAAGAAAAAAAATTAATTACATAAAAAAATTTTTGATTTTTTTTTTGGTACTTATATAAATAAATAAACAGATTGACAATCATAAAAATAATTTAATCATGTCCATGTGACCTCGCTTTTCTGCTTACCATAAAAAGCCTCTATTGATTTTTCTTTTCGTATTAGTATTAATATTAATAATATACTTTTATAGGCATTTGGAACATCCGATTTTCGTTCTTTTCAATAACCAATTATATAATCATCTAAATCATCTAAATGAAATTGTTTTTAAATTTCCGATAAATGTTCCGATTAAAAAATTATCCCAACGATTAATTTAAATAAATTAGTAAATAAATAAATAAATCACAATGAAATATTATTGATATTGATAATTGATGACGATAATGAGAGTTTGGATTTATTCTTTTATAAACAACAATTAGCTTTTTCAATCAACTTCTTTCTTACACTAACATGCTTTTTATGTGTAACTTCTAATGTTTCACGATCTCTAGTTCTACCAATTAAAACCCAACAAATTACTTGATAATAATAAACAATAATATATAATAATAATATAAACAATAATAATAATAGTAATATTAAAAGATTTTTTTTTTCTTCTCTCCCTCCTTCTTTATTTCTATTATTAATTGTTATATATTATCGCTTCACTTCTGCTTATTTGTCTATTTAAAAAAATCTTACAAAAAAAAAAAACCCAAAAAAAAATAAATTTTCTCCCTTTTATATTGTTTCTATTTTCATCATATAAGTATATCATCATCATCATTATAAATATTCATTCTCTTATATACATATATATATATATATATATATAATATATACACATAAATACCTCTTTTTGAAACGAGGAAAAAAAAATTCTTTTTTAATTTCTGTTAACGATATAATTTTAAATATTTCACACACACACACACACACACACATATATATATTGTATATTATTACAAACACCACATATTCACAATTAATCTTCCTTCCACGCACGCTACTTGCATATCTCTAACAACATATTCCACAACATCTTTAGCAACATCTTTAACATCACTTTTAAAATTCCATTTAGCATTTACAACCATCTATAAATATATAAATATATTATTTCTTGTTAAATATTTTGTTTTCTTATAGATTATTTTTATATTGTTTTTTTTTATAAATATATAAATATTTTCTTACACATAGACAATTTTAATTTTATTATTGTTTAATATAATAAATAAAATTATCATAAATTATATTATCATATATTAAAAAAAATTTCTCCACTCATCTCACAAAAAAAACTTATACATATAATATAGATTTTCTTTGTAAAATTTCCTATAACAATATCAATAACAAAATGACATTATTTTATACTTCTCAACAACAACAACAACAACAAAATCATAACATTCATGGTGGAAATTTAAACAATATTACTCAAAGAACCTCACCTACAACAACCACCTCTATTGCGACCTCTGAATCTACCTTAAACATGTCTTCTGCTACTGGTGGTGAGGCAACTTCTGCCAATGCTGCTACTACTGTTACTACATCCGCTACAACGAACTTAGTTGCTGCTTCAACCACACCCACTACAACTGATTTGCCGGATATCATTGCACCATTTCCAAAGAAATTTTTATATGCTTATGCTGGTCATTTATTAAACAACGGCAACAATAATAACTTTATTTCTACCCAGGTTGCACCTACTGCTACCAATGCTAATGATATCAATGATCAATCACTATTGACTACTTCATCTTTATTGCAATTACAACTACAACATCAACAACAACATCAACAATTACAACAACAATTGCAGCAGCAGAAATTGCAATTACAGCAAATTCAACAAAAAATGACTTCCCATACTACCACCGCTACAGCTCCAACCACAGAAGTTACTAATGATAGTCCTTGGGGTCTTTCTGCTGTGCAGGAGGATAGTGAAGATGATAACCTCAACAACAACATTAATAATAATGGTGACACCTTGGAATCAATGTAAGTAATTGTTTTTTTTTTGCGATTTATTATGATTCGTTTCAACGATAAATAAACAGTCACTAAATTCTAATCTATAATCTTCGTATAATTAGGTCTGATGAGGCTCTTGCATGTGCAGAATTGATGGAAATCATGGGCAATTCTAGTCGTGGATCCAGTAGACCTGTTTCTTTGTCTGGATCACCTGATCGCTTTAGTAGTAACACTATCAACAGTAGTAATATTAGTAATATTAATAAAAAATTTATCATGAAGAGTACTACTAAATCAATGGAAGAGTTGAAGATCAGCGATAATAAAAATAATATTATTAATGATTTTTATGATGACAATGATAGAAATGAAAATATCGTTACCGCTAATGTTAGTAATAGTTACGATGAATTGAAAGCAATTGAAATTGAAAAGATGCGTCAAAGACCGTTTACAATTTCTACATCCACTTTAAATGCTTCTTCTTCCTCCGCATCTGGATCAACAACAACGTCACCCACAACGATTCGTCCAAGTCGTCTTGCAGTTGATAATTCCCATTTGTTATTTGGTTCATCACCAATTACTCGTGCCCATAACCCATTACCAATGGACTCGTACTTTTCTCCAACTAAGCAACGTTCTAAACAATTTCCACATAATCATAATCAACAACAACTTTTAAGACCAACTAGTCTTTACCAAACAAATCATTATTACTACGACAACAACAACAAGAATGATAGTGGTATTGAAGGAGAAACTAATTTCTATGATGGTGATCTTAATAATGAAAATGCTGCTAGTGATATTACCAAAATTGGTGGTATTAGTAGAATGATTAATAATCTTAATGATAATTCGTTTGAAAATGTTTCTAAAATTCCTCATAATTTGTCCAAAGCATCTAAAACTGCAATTTTCATGAGTATTTCTGAAGGTGGAAGACGTCGATCATTGTCTGTCGGAAGTGCTGGGCTCAAAACTGGTAGTAAAATAATTGGATGTTAAATATAAGAATTGTAATTATTATAATTGTGGGTAAAATTTTTTATTTTATTTAGTTTTAGCAATAGTTTTTAATTTATCTAGTAGTGCAGTAGTTTTCTTTTCTTCTTTATAATTATTTGTATATAATTTTCTCTATTTTTTTTTTTAATTGCACATAATTTTTCTTTTTCATTATATATTATTATTTTACATATTTTTTTTTTATATAATTTTATATATTTTTTTCGCTAGTAGATTGTACACACACAAAAAATATATATATATATTAAAATTTAAAAATTTAAAAAATAAAATTTATCCTAGTAATCTTAATAATAATTGTTAGCTTATAAAATTTTCTTTATTTTTTCATATCATTAATGTATTATTTAATAATAATAATAATAATAATAATAATAATAATAATAATAATAATAATAATAATAACAACAACAACAACAACAACAATAATAATTGTTTAATAATTGTTATTCAAAAATGTAATATGTGAGACAGACCAAGCAAAGTGAAGATAGCAATAATAATAATAATCACCAAATGATCGGTAAGTCTTCAAGTATTTGCTTTAATCAATGCTTCTTATTCATATGATTTTCTTGGTCTTCTTGAGATTTTTCAATCCTATAATTAGTCCTCCAAATGTTAGCAAATTTAGCATCAATAAACTAACCAATAAAACAATCAAAATTATTCTTTCCTTTTCGTGTTTAACAATCAGTCAGTTGCTCTTTGGTTTTAATGGATTCATTGCTCGATGGTAGAGGCTTGAGCAACCTTTTCTTTTAATATAGGGAAACAATTTTCATTCCTTAGACTTGACTGCTTCAATAAAGTTTTTCTCTTCCATTTTGGTGAATATTTTCTTGAATCAGGCCTTTCCTCTCTTGTTTAAATAATTGTTGTTGAATTTCCTGTAAACCATTTTGTAATTTTGTAACTATTATCCTCTCAGAGGTTTTTGAATTAGTTGCTGGATGATTTTAATAACTCTCCCTATGGCGGCATCTTTTGTATCTAATTTATCTAGTTTTAAATCAGTAATGAACATTTCAATAATTTATCATTTCTTTCCAACTCAACCTTTTTGATTAGCATTAGTAATTTGTTCTTTCAATTACCACATTAGTTTGTTGGCGGAGGTTAGCAGAATTAAAAGGTCTTTGCTAACCCTATTTGCTATTTTGTGCACTTGTTTTTACTTTTTTTAGCTCTTCAAATTTTTGTCTTTTTATTAATAGTTTTCAGTTTATTTTTTGTTTTGGCTTTTATGGCTTGGATGCACTTTCTGAAAGAGTCCAATTGCTTCTTTAGAGATTGATCAAGAGATTGAGTTTTGACTAATTTTTTATTTAAGTCATTATAACTGTTTTTTTAATCAGCATCAGTTTAATGGAATAGATTATCATTGTTTTGATTATCATTTTTGGCATTGGTTGGTTATATATCTGCAAGTTCTATATTACACTAAAACTTTCATTTATTTCTCTGTTTGTTTGTAATTTGCTCATATATTTGTTGATATTTTTACAAATATTTGATAATTTGTAAGAGGATCCATATATATTAAGTTTATAAGAATGGTTCAAAGTTGATTCAGAAAACAAGTGTCAAGTCTATGACTACATAAGTTGTAACTTCTCTAATTTTTGGTAATGGGAGTAAATTCATATCTATATTTGGATAGAGTATTGATTTTTCTAAAAAAGTCATCTTCTACAAATAAACAATTAATTAATATTTTAGTGAATAAAATAAGAATTTTCTCGTATTGGATATATTTTTTTTTAACCAAAGTTCAAATTTTGTTACACACATTTTTTCTTTCAAAAAATAAAATAAAATGGGAGTAAGTTATTTTACATTTTACATATGAATTGTATGAATTCAAATATTCACAAATTATAATATTAACGTTTGACTAGATTAAGTATGTTTTATTAGTGAGTAGACAAGGTAAATTGAGACTTGCAAAATGGTTTAATACATTATCAACGAAAGAGAAACAAAAGATAGTCAAAGAAGCCACTCAAATGGTTCTTTCAAGAAGAACAAAAATGTGTAACTTCTTGGAATATAAAGGTTCGACTTTCTAAATTATCATAATTGAAATAATAATAATATTTTTTGTTTGCATATGTAAGTAAATCTAATGTTAATAATGAATTTGAATTTTTAAAGATGAAAAAATTGTTTATAGAAGGTAATAAAATTAAAAAATAAAATAATTAAATAAAATAAATAATTTTAATTAATTAATATTCTATATTTTGTAGATATGCAAGTTTATTCTTTGTTACAGGAATTTCTGATACAGATAATGAACTTTTAACGCTTGAAATTATTCATCGTTATGTGGAGATTTTAGATCGTTATTTTGGAAATGTAAATTATTTTGATTATTTGTTTGATTATTTGTTTGATTATTTTTATTTTATTTATATTTATATTAATATTATGTTTGTTATTAATATTAGGTTTGTGAATTAGATTTGATTTTTAATTTTCAAAAGGTGAATAAATATATTAATTAAACATATATATTAGACATATATTAGACATATATTAACCAATTACTAATCAATGAATCAATTACTGAATCAACCAATCAAAAGGCATATTTTGTATTGGATGAATTAATTATTGCAGGAGAAATGCAAGAATCAAGTAAAAAATCAGTATTAAGAGTTATTGGTCAGCAAGATTCTTTAGAAGAAGGTGAAAATGGTGAAAAGGGTTGGCCAGAGAAAAAGTCATAACTATAATAATTATAATAACAATAGTAAATATAAGATTATAATATAATAATGTAATAATATTTATTAATTATTTAAATTTGTATAAAAATAAAAATATTTAGAATATAACAATTAAAAAATATATAAATCTAAAATTAAAATTAAAATTAATTAATTAATTAATTATGAAATATTCAGATTTTAGATTTTTAGAATTAAGTCACGAAAATTATATGCATACATATTATTTTGCCTTTCCATACTTTGCCTCTTATAAATAAATTTTTATCAGCAACTCTTGAATCACCAACAGGAATAGATTTATTAGATGATCTTGTATCTTTGGCATTTTTTCTTAATACCTATCTATCTATTCATCCATAATAAATTTCACCTTCAACCATCAATGTTAATACAAGTTAACAGTAATGCAAAAAATTTACATAAAAATTACAAGTTTTAGAAAAAGACCATAATAATAACATGGCAAATTTTCAACTTTTTATTTGTATTAATTAGTATGGTCTGATTTGGCAAATGAATTGAAATGATTGGTTCTTTTTTTCCAAAAGTCATTTTGGCAAACTATTATAGTTTTGACAGCCCTTTTCAACCATTGCTCTCTAAGCTTAACAATATATGCTATTCGAATAAGTTTCTTGATTTTCTACAAATTGCTTGATGAAAGAGTGGTCGAATTTCCTCAATACTGTATCACAGGATCTCTATGATCCCTGAAATCCATCATTATTATAATGCAAATGTTCACTTTGTTGCGTAGATAAATATATATATTGTATATACCATTTCCTGAAATTATTGTTTTTTGATTTCTTTTCAATGGTCTACATCCAATTTTCATTAAGGACGTGTCATATATTAGCCGAGATGTTAGGCTTTATGTATTGAATTATAAAAAGATAGAAGAACAACGCTAAATATAAAAAAGATTCTATTAACAAATTGAATTATTTAATTTGCCCAATTTACATTTAAACATTGTGAGATCGTGTCCGAGTCTCAACCAAAATTTCAATATTCTATTTATAACAACATTCTAATTAAATAATACAAATACGATTTCAATATTCTTCAACTTTTTAATCTTTTAATATGCAATTGCTTTTCTTTACAAATATAGAATGTCAATAGCGTCTTTCGCTATAAATCTCTGGCAATAATTACTATTACCCTCAATCACGCTTTTCCCAGCAGATACTCTTTGTTATCTGTCTGGGTCGGGAACGTCCAAATTCTTAATGTATTTTTATCCTGCTCTTTGGGCTTTACTTTTATATCTTCGGCTCAGCTTCTACTGGCCCTACCTAGGTTTCCGCTGGTCTTAGGTATCTCCCTAAGTTCTGTAAAGTAAAAAAAAGAAATGAATATATACAACTATACTTAGCAAAGGCATCCCCCTGGTAAGATAATAATTAATTAAAAAAAAAAAATAGTGAGAAACATAAAACAAAAGAAAATAATTATGCACGGAATTAGTATGAATTCATAGTTGAAGATATATTTATTATTATTACGAAAATATAAAATTCGAAGGCAACAACAAGGACAAGGACAAGGACCGTTTGTTATTTATTAAATGATTATTATGATTATTCTTATAATATGATATATGTTAAAGATTCAATCACCTAGCTCTCTGAACTTTTCATGTAGGATTATTTCAAGTTATTTCTAGAGAATTAAAGGGTCTGTTACAATTTAGAATTCTTTCTCAATAATTTCTGTGAGTTATTATTTTACTGGTTTATTAGTAATACTTTATCAAATTGGACTGGTTTGAATTCTTGATCAGTTTTCCGACTTTTTTCTTTTCGTGCAACTTTTATTGATTTTCCGTGATCCATAAATTACTATTACCATTTTACATAAGAAATTAGATCTCTTAATAATAAAAAACTTTTACTTGGCAATAAAAAGTACAGCGAAACTTTACTAAGTAATAGGGCCGTTCAAATTTAGACGTCTGTTTAACACCATTTTAGGAAAAATATGAGGGGGGGTTTATAATAGGTCATTACAATTACAAATTACTATTACTCAAAAAATGCATCCGTTGGATTTCACCGGATATCCGATGGACTCTAAAATTTCAATCCGTAATCAGTCAGTCTTTTAAAAGCTATACGTCAATCCGTATTAATATATTAATATGACCGAATTGTTTTACGGATATCCGAATTGGCCATCCACGGATCGCCTCACTTCATTTTAATCTCGCGTTCCAAAAAACTTTGCACAACCCTACACGCATAAAAACATTATTGAAATGTCAAAAAGTAATTAATCTTGAATCAATATACATGAATGGATGAATGAATGTATTATCTTTTAAAATTCAAAGAATATAAACAATTATTTTTAAAAAAAATCATTTTATAAGAATCCACATGTTAATAATTTATTGACAAGCATATTCAAAACAAATAGAGCTTGATGATTATACTGATCGTTAGTTTTATCTGTTAAGTTTAATATAAAATTTAAAAAAATTATACATATAATATTTCAACCACCAATGGATCAATTGATCATTTATTTAAACATATTAATAGGATTGCTAAAACTTGAGATGAATATGATGGTGATTTTATCTCAAGGTCAAAAAGATTAAGATATATCTTAAAAGCAATTTACGAATTTACGATTGATCAATTTAATACCAGAACTTACATAATAATAATTTATCAAACAGTGTATTCACAATCTCCAGAGCTTGGAAATTCTAATGATGTTTTGTGTCCGTCATGTAATGTGATAATTTTGAATGTCAGTCCAAATCAAAAGCCTACCATTACTATGTTTAATGCTGCCGTTTCTTTGTCACTATCATGATCTATATCCCGAACCTCAACATCTCGGTAATTGTACATTGGTGGTTTGCCCTTGTTGTTCACCTGGTTCATCGCGTTGATCAATGCTTCTGTTCTCAATACCTTTTTTTGTTTGCTGCTTCTTCCTTATCGCACTGTGCTCGTGATCTTTTATTCAACAACGAGTTTGATGATGTTGTTGCATTCGTTAGTGTTGAGGACGACGACGATGTTGATGTTTTTTGTTGATGATCTGCTGCTCGAATATTTTCTTGGCCTTGATGATTGAGGCTTTGCTTTGTGTCATTCGAGACCGTGTAGGTAGACGGGATCATCAATTTGTTCCAGTGAACGAATTATAGACATTCCTCTCTGTGATGAAGTAGTTTTGCTGATCTCGTTCTCCCTTTTGCTTGGCCTCCTCTTTGCAGGGAAAAGAGAAAGCGCCAAACAGAGATGCTACCAGCGGATCGTTCACGTCGGGCCATTCAATCGCTTGAACAACAGTCACTTATGAAAAGAAAATGTCATTTGACACATGTTTAATAAAACCATTTAAAACACATATTAATCAATATACTTTCATATGTCGGCGAGATGAAAGATCGTAAAAAAAACACTTACGAATAATTCAGATCCAACGTTAAGGAACTTTCCAACCATCAACATGACCATGTTCTCTCTGATTCCTTGAATCATATCTTCAGAGCTCCTGCCAAAATACTTTAAAGTTTAACTTTCATTGTACATCCTGCCATATATAATAACCGTGTAAACCTTCTCACTACTCACAGTCTTGACGAGCGCAACCAACGGTATGATAGGGGCCTTTTTTTTAAAAATAAGGCAAAAAAAGATGATTATATGGGGTTTGGACGATAGAAACGGATCATCTATATTTCAAGATTGAAGACATCTCAAAATTTATTAAGCAAAGTGGGTATAGTTTCTAAGCCAAAAATGCTCTACATGAGGAGTTACATATAGCAATGATATTAACTCAAAATTGCTTTTTCACAACATCATGTTTGTGATTATATAACTTGTATCTAACACAACCTAGTACTAGGATGACAAAGAAAATATTCTGTATATTATAGAACAATATGACCCCAATTATAATTGTCCAAGATCCTCCTTAATTAACACTGATGATGGTTTGAGGCTAGTTCGCAAAGTTTAAAAGTGCAAGTCATGGGTGGTGATAATCATCAAGGATATTGAATTGAAAGAAAAGAAATTGGATAAATTTTGTTAAAAAAACTTTGAGGAATATGTTTTGCCTACCAAAAAATAGCTTATTAATAATTACAAAGATGAAAAGAAAAAAATATTGATAAAGCTATTTAAAAAGCAATTAAGAAAGAACAATTTACCATCTAAAAACCAAAATAGAAAAACCTTATCAGCAAAGTGATACTCCAATTATCTGTTGAACAATTAAAAAGTAATACAAATGTTTTACTTTGCCACACACACACATATATATATTAAAAATTTAAAAGATTTGACCAGTTTGAGGTACATTAATATGCAAGCATAAACTTCACAGTTCCATACCAATATCGATCGCAGAAATCTCGTTTTTTTGCACTGTTACTGCTGGTTTTTCCTCCCTTTGATTATTTGAGTCATACATAAAATCTGGATGGAGATCCTTAACTATTGCTAAAATTTATAGAAGATGATTAATTAATCAATAATATCATCATTTTATTCATTCATTTTTTTGTGGTCTTTAAAAATACAAAAGTGCATATATGTGTATCTATCTATATATATGAGTGTGATTTTTCAAGCGCATTGTTACAAATAAATAAATAAATAATAAATTCTAATAATTCTAATAAACCAAAAATTCAAAAGCAACTTCTTTTTGCCAAATTCCGATATTTTTCACTAGGTACATGCTTGGACAAAAAAAACACAATGCAAATGGTAAAGAAAATGTTATAGATATAACCGAGATTATGAATGTGAGTATTGAGAGAGAGATTTTAAATATTAAAAAATATATTAAACATCTCCATGTATATTCATCTGCAATGTAATTCAATGTTGATTTAAGAAAATTTGATACTAATGAATAAAATGAATAATTATTATTAGTTGTTGATGATGATGAAATGGAATTAATGATTATTGAATTATCTAAACAAAATACTGGTGGATAATAAATTTGATAATATCTATTCTCATGGTAAAATTTTGGTTGTCCTCCAAAAAAACTTTGGGTTGCGAGTTCTATACGAAAGGTAAAAAGTGTCAAAGTGAGTTTTTCTTGAGTCAAGTCAATCAAAAAACCACTATATAAAAAGCGATTAACCTTACCAATACGACCTAACATTCTTTAAAAGTAATGATAGCATTAATTATAACAATAACATAAAAAAATAAAATAAAATAAAATAAAAAAAATAAATATTAATACTTTCATACCTGTAAGATGCTGCTGTTATCAAGAAAATTATATACGCTAGTGGCGGATTTAATAAACTCACCAAACAAACAACACTGGTTACTATTACCCACGAAAAACAAAAAAATCCAAATGGCAAAGAAAAAAATATTAAATAAATTAAACAACCCCATGTTTTTAATTCACAAGGTGCAAAACAACAAGAATCATCCTCATCTAATTCTTGTTGAAACCTAGATGTTATATCTCCTCCTTGCAAAAAGTTCATTCTCGCCCCATGTCTTCCAGACATTCTATTTAATGATAGCGATGAAGATGTCGATGAGAGTGGTTGAGATATAGTTGAATTGAATATTTGAAAAAAAGGATTATTATTTGAAACTGCAATTGATGATGATAGTGGCTGAGGTGGTGAATAAACTAAAGGTGCATGCATATTGGCATTGTGATATGACGAAAGTTGAGGAGTAATTCTCATTGTAGAAAGAAAGGATGTGGTTGATAAGGAGGATCTTGAAAGGTCATTGTGATTAGGTGGTTGTGATCGTGAATTGTGCGAGACAATTTGCTGGCCATAATTATTTGAAGAATTAACAGCTTGATGTCTATTTTGAACTACACTGTTAGTTACAAGCGGGTATTCTGAATACTATATTTATTATTTATCAAACAAATAAATTAAAAAGAAATTTGAAACATTCATTAGTTTTAAAAGAAATAAATTAACCTGAAAATCGAATAAATTAACATTTACTATCAAATAAATAATTTATAATCGTTACAGGAGGTGGTGGTTCATTCAGTATCTCATCGTTCGATAAGAGTTCTTCTTCTTCAGTATAAATAGTTCTTTCAATTGCTGGCGGCATTTTAAAAATAAGAATATATAAAGCAGATTGTGAACATTATAATAATATGGGTTCAAAAATTACGTGTCACAAAAATATTGGATGCTGCACAAAAAAATAATTTGTACGAGCACTTTCAATAGTAATAGTACTTATAGAGCGGATTTCTACGAAACTGTCAACATTGAATATTTGTACAAAAAATAGAAAGTTTTTTTCCATATATAATTATCATTAATCAACTTTTCACAAATAACTTTTTTTTTTTCTGCTTCCTTCCCAGCAAAATGAGTTCAACTATTCCCGTTAAATGTAACCAAAAAAAAAAAAAAAACTAGAAAATGGAGAAATTCAATACAAGTCAGGATTTCTCGTAGCACTTTTACCGTTTTCGAAAATCATAGGAGTATTCTTGACTTCGTACGGAAAATGTGAAAGAATTAACGAAATATTGAGACGTTTCAAGTTCGCTACCGCAGAGGAATACGCACGGGGAGCAATCGATGAAGATGTAAACTGTCGTTCTTCTGTGTTTAGCTCGTAATAACAATAAGAATAGCAGTAATGAGAGAACATCCACCGAGATGAGTATAAGGATAAACCTTAATCCAGACAGTGCTAGGAATTTGGTTTATGTAGTTAGCCTATATTTCAAAAGGAAAAATAGAGAAAAGCTTTTCTTGAATAAAATAGATAATTCCTTTTCGTATAACGGAAATAAAATAACCTAATAAACTATTTGAAGCGAAAATTTCATTGATATTATACATTCAATCAAGGTTCTATTAAAATACAATAATAAATCTTTCTCCCGCTATTCAGAAAGTGTTGAACGTCTATAGAAGGATTTTAAACACTCGTTTAATAAAAAGGCTGGGCTAAATTCGAGATTTTATTTAACAAAATGATAGTTGAAATCCATCAGTCACGAAGAAGTTGCTATTTCCCACCATAAAAAACTTTTGCTAAGAAAAGCCAATCCTAGGAAGAAAACAATCGAAACAATTCAGGTTAAGAGATTGAGATTAATAATGACCATTGATGATAATAAAATATAGTATAGATACTTTAATCTACCTGAATGGCCAGAGAATAAGTAATGCTCATAAATGGCTTTCGAGTCCCATTGTAATTTCTCTGTACATTTTTCCATTGTACTGGTTGAATAAAACATGGCTTATCCTTTTATGCCTTTCCTTGTATGTGAATGAACGCCTTTATTTCCATTCTGTATGCAGTCAACTATGATTTGACAGAAATCGTTTCGGATGAATTAATTTGTTTCTTCTTATATTTCTAGTTTACAATTGAGTTTATCCTCAGAGATAGTTTGGATGCAGATGAAGGTTAAGCGTAAATTGGTCTTTATAAAAAAGAACCCGCAAGTCATCATCTTTTCTGGCCAGAGTAATTGTTCTTTAACAATTAATTAAAATTTACTATTCGATTAGCCAACACTTCCTAGACAAAATATTTGATCACATGTTTATACTAATTAGTAAAAAAATATACATAACAATATTATGTAACCTAGGTTTCGCGTTGCTAGCTTTCATGTATCAAGATTAATAAAAAAAACTAAAATTCAATTTACATAATAAAAAATTGTAAACGGAGGCTATTGTTTTTGAAGAATAATATATGAAATTTCATGCCTAGAAAATTAGAAAATAGCAATAACATCGACAAGGAAGGGGTCTGATTCATTTCGTCGACAGTCATTTCGTCGACACCCATTTCGCCGAAAGTTTGTTTCATCGAAAGTTCATTTCGTCACAAAAAAAAAACTTCATTTTAAACAAATTTCTCCTCACACTTCCCTTTCCTCACCTAATTTCTTAACTAACTTCCCACACTCCTCACATCTAACTCGTTCGGTCTCTGGCTCGAGGATGAAATAATTTTCGACGAAATGAACATATGATAATGATTGCTATAGATTTGAACTGATTCAAATCAAAAATCAAAAATTAGGTAATTCGAATCAGTTTGAACTTCATCGATTCGTTTGGAGCTTTATGCACCCAGTTTGTTTGATGATGGTTCTTGCATTGTAAAAATAGGATTATTCCTTTTGTAAAAACTTGCTGATAAATTATTTTTTTAATACAATAATAACATTTTTCTAGTACAAAGGAAAATCATAAAAGGTCAAAATGGCTTGCTTTTTTTATACAATCAATATTATCTTTTGTTATGCATTGGCAAGAACAATTGATCTCTTACAAATATAATGGGATTGCCATTTGTTTTCTTGGTGCTTAATCACAACATGCAAGGGAAGGATTAAATAATAAAAAGATAAGTAATGTTTTATTTGTTTTATTCAACTAAGAGAAAAATACATATATATAAATATTAATATAATGATAATAATAATAGTAACAATAATTAATAATAATTAATAAATCAAATTCACAATCATCTTTTTATCACTCAAGAAATTTTGAGATCATTAAGCCATGAACAATTTAACAGTTCAGCTTCCTGAATTGATTCATCTAGTGGACGACTTGTATAGAATGATTCTGGGTGGTGTTTATAATTTTTTGTATCTAACAAGT